CAGATAAAGTTATTTCACCATAAATCATTATGGGTTTGGAAGGATTTTCAAAATATCAGCATGAAATACACCGATCACAAGTGTTTGTTCCTCCAAAGTCGCTTCAGGTGCTCATCCAGACGCCATTTAAAAGCAACGTCTATCTTCTCCTCCATCACAATTACTGGAAGGTAATTCCGGAGTGTTGTTTACCTCCGCGAGACTCGGTAAACTAACGGAAGACCAACTGACTAAAGTTTTCGTAAAGTGCGAAGGTGTCCCCGCGTGCGGCCCTCTTTTCGTAAAAGGAAGTACTGTTGCAGCTTTGGGCCCAAATCACCTCTCAGAATCTTCTTCAAACATATGAGATCTACCTGAGGTGCCGATTTGCAACTGGAAACAGACCGGTAGACTGTAGACGATTTTCATAGCTGGTCTCGCCTGGTCCAACAACAAGTCTAGCGGCAGCACGTGGTACACGTTCCAACTTAGCCAGTTCACCGGCCGTGCAGGGATATTTCGCCGAACCACCATACTCAAGTCTTGGTCTGACATGGGAAGTGTACAGCAAACTGTAGGCGTCCATTGTGAGGTGGTTGATTGACCTCCGAATAGTCCCCAGAATGCTCCATGCCCTAGCACAGACCCAGCCGGTGTTTTCTCGGGTCTTTAATGATGATGTAACCATAACTCCCAGGTCTCTTTCGCACGATGTTGTGAGCAATCTGATTCCCTGGACATTTTAGACTACCTCTGAGTCAGCACGCCTCAAGTGAAGGTGAGCACACTTTACCGTTTTGACTGGAAGAGCCTAGATGTCCGCCCACGGAGCCAGGTTGTTCAAATCCGCTTAAAGAGATCTTCGATCATTCGGATCCTTGATTGTACGCCAGATTTTGATGTCATCCGCATACATGAGGGATGGGCTGCATAGTTGACCAGACAGGTCGTTCACGTTAACCACAAAGAGCATCGGACCAAGAACCAAGCCTTGGGGGACCCCACTGGGAACGGAATACCATGCCAATAGCCATTTGCCAACATGGACGCAGAATTTCCGGTCGGTGAGGAATTCTCGCAGCCAATTGAGCAGGACCACACCTACACCTAGGTTGGACAGCTTTCGCAAAAGGAGGTCGTGTGGCACCTTGTCGAAGACCTTGCTGAATTCCACGAAGATGATGTCCGTTTCGTATACGTTGGTCTTGTCCTCGGTCCAGCGTTCATTTGCAAGTAGCAGGTTTGAGAGGCATGAGCGACCCGGCCGGAAACCGTGTTTTTGGTGGCACAGGTGACCGTGGCACACCAAATGCTGCCCAAGCCGTGCAGCCACCAGCCGCTCTATTACTTTACCCACAACATTAGTAAGGCTGACTGTTCGGCAGTTCCCAGGGTCACTCCCATCCTCAACTTTGGACAGTGGAACAATCACAGCATCCTTCCAATGCCGCGGTAAACGCCCTTGAGTGAATGACGAACTGCACAGGTTGCACAGTGGCACTACAAGTTCATCTGCCAGCTCCAGCAGGATCAGCGGATGCACACCATCAGGTCCAGGTGACTGGAGTCGACGCACCTCCCGGGCCACCATTACAATGGCACATGGAATCAAATTTAGAGCAGTGTCCTTGTCCAGTAGATGTGCCAATATGCTGCAGTATATACTAATGCATAATGTGATGCCAACATCTCCGATTTGTCCTCATCTTTTTCGGCTAGTACTCCATCTTTGGCGAAGGTTAGGAGACCAGGCGTTGCTTCGATTCTTCGCCTGAGGTAGGCATGCAATCGCTTTGGTGCCTGTACAGAATCCGCTGCGAGTCGTTCCTCGAATCTGTTTGTTTTGCATTCTTTCAGTGCAGTACAATGATTCCGAATACGTTGATATTCCTCATATCCTGCGCCTGTTGCACGGTACCTGGCTTAGGCTTTATTCGGCTACTGCAAGCACGCCCGCCGTTCTCAGTCAAACCACGGCGGGCCAATAGCGTGCTATCGGTGGCGGTGGGGTGGAGAAACTTTCAGTACGAGTTGATGGATTCCATGACGAACCAACTCCCAGGATACATTCACATTTTCAGGGTTTCGGGAATCCCAATTTATGAGCAATGCAGCTTGACGCAATTCCGGAAAGGATGAGCACTACACATTCCGTCCGTCCTGTGGTCTATCCGGTTGGGGTACGCCACGCCTCCCGTGTATACACAGAACGGAGTGATCACTAGATGCTATTGGTGGAAGGAGGTCAATCCTGGTCGCCTGGTTGCCTCGGCGAAAACACCAGTTCAAGGATGAATTTTAGATCCCCAACTATCCGCGTGGGCACATAAACTTGCCGAAAAAGCACGAGGGCCCGGACAGCGAAAAAAAATTTCTCTGGAAAAACAAATCTGCGTGATAAGAGCAGATGTCGGTTTCCCAATCAATATGTGGCGCGTTGAAATCACCCAAGACAAAACACTGTCCATCACAGGCGTACCTCTGTTTGCTGGCCAACAGTTCCGGGATGTACACAGCTAATGTGCGGTAGATCACTCCAACGGTGGCATACCCTCCCTGCACAAAGCTTGATTCTACACCGCAGAGTTTCTCCAAATCCTTCCGGATGGGCGTAGTTCTCGCACCGTGCAACTGGAAGACCCGAGCGGACCAGAAAACAACTCTAATTCCGCGACGTGACGATGATTGATCCGTTCGTAACACAGTGCAACTGTGGAGTGATATTTGGGTGTCCCGAAAATCCGGTGTCATCCAGGTCTAGGTGATTACAAAAAGCTCGGGAATGTGGGATGCAACCCAGTCCTACAACTCATCCCTTTTTTCAAACATCGCTCGAATACTGGTTGAGGCTAGCACAACGTGGTTACCTCGCCGTTTGCGCCTCAACTTAATCACCCAGTCCGTGGTTAAACAGTCTCCTGGGTCCTTCCCCGACCAAGGGTAGTCATCGCAACTTAGGGCGATTCCGATGCACACGAAAATTCCGTATTCACAGATCAGTTTCCCCTTTTGCACGGTGCTCCCTGAGTTCTTTCAATGCAGTTTTCAGTTAACCGTGCTGGTCCGGATCAAGATCCCTGAGAAACCGAACCGGAGTTCCCTTCAGCTTTTGGGTCTGCTGGAGTATCGCTTTGGCCTCGCTTTCTGCCCGAATAACCACTTTCACTGGTCGTGAAAGATTATCCTGAAGGGGTTTTTCAAGCCTGGGTGCCGCTTTTACTATGATTGATGCCGCTGGTTCCATCTCGTCGCCATCAAACAAGGTAATCATGTGCGATCTTAGCAGCTGCAGGTGATGGTCCCGGCGAGCCTGGGCGGTGTTGGCCTCGGCCTCCAGGAGATTGACAACAAAAAGGCACTGAGATCTCGTAGGGAGCTTCCTCTGCTGCATAGGTTCTTGCGAATGGTGCGAGCGCCTCTAGGTTATCCGTGACATGTGACACACCCCTTGCCTGGATGTTGTGGACGAGGGAGCTGAGTCTGTCCGTGGGGGCGATGCGGCAGACGATATCTCTGAACTTTTTTCGGATTCTTCTGCAGCGGTGCAGCTGCAGGAACTGCTTTCG